CAGTTCCTATTTCCTGCTTTTTTTTTCATGTTGGATGGGACCTTTTAAGTTTATCTTCATTTTATCAGTAAGAAAACTTAGATCCAAAGTGTCATACAAACTTAGTGCAGAACCCAGGTCTCTTGTCTTAGTACCTTTTCTTCCTAGTAAGACCATGCTGCCTCCTTCTCACATTTCACTTTATTCAAGGAATTCTGCTTATTCTGATTTCATAACAAGGTTTGAGGGTGAAAATGGAATTGCACCCATTTTGCAGTCTGTAATCTCAGGCCTTAGTGGTTTGGTGATCCCTCATCTAATCCTAAAAGAAAAGTTAATCTCCTTTTATGTACCAAGCACTTTGATATATAGTAGCGCTCGCGCACACACACACATGAATTCTTGTAAATATACCCGTTAATTTCTGACAACCTATTAAAGTAGTTTTTATCCTCTGTCTACAAGTGAGAAATTGATATATAGTAGCACGCACGCACACACACACACATGAATTCTTGTAAATATACCCATTAATTTCTGACAACCTACTAAAGTAGTTTTTATCCTCTGTCTACAAGTGAGAAAACTGATGCTTAGAAAAATTAGGTAACTAACTTAAGTGATCAGAATCAGCCTCAGAACTGGACCATTTCCTTCTATCCAGAGTTGCCCACTACTTTTCACATAATGGAATATGATGGCGTCAAGTACTTGTGAGTCTAACACAGAAGAAATGGGAAACTCTTGTAACATGTTTTTTAGGAAGATCTGCACTGCTTTTTTCCACTCATCCACCCAGCCCCATAATACATGCCTCAGAGTGTTTTTATAAAACCTTCAGAGAGAAGACAGAGTTCATAAAATGAAGGATACCAAGGCCAGTCCTTGAAGCACATGGGAGGCCTTCAGGGTATGACTTGTAGACTCTCAGCTTCCGGTAACCTTTCCTGTACCTCCTTTACATCCTGTCCTCAAGTTCTTCGTTTACAGTGACCAAAGAACCAATGATAGCTTTAAATGTGATCGCTCCTTCCCTGGCTGGTCTGGCTCAGTGGATAGAGCGTCAGCCTGCAGACTCAAGAGTCCCAGGTTCGATTCCGGTCAAGGGCATGTACCTGGGTTGCGGGCACATCCCCAGTAGGGGGTGTGCAGGAGGCAGCTGATCGATGTTTCTCTCTCATCGATGTTTCTAACTCTCTATCCCTCTCCCTTCCTCTCTGTAAAAAATCAATAAAATATTTTTTTTAAAAATGTGATCTCTCATAAGATAGCTCTACATTTTAAAGCAATTGAAGTCTTAGTTAAAGCAAAGGAATGAATCTCTAGTGCATAGAAGATCTGGGTCCTAGTCCTAGCTGGCTATCTGGCGTTCTTGCCATAAGCTCTTGGGCTAGTTATTTTACTTTTCTGAGGCTGCTTTCTTCATCTGCAAGTGAGAAGGCTAGTTGTTGGATAAGATTTGAGGTTTTTTCCAATGCCAACATGTCTTTTATGACTTGACCGTTGTACATGGGACCATGTCTGTGTGAAGATCTTTCCTCCTGTGTTGATAGATATAGGCAGGCCCTGTTGGTAGCATGTGGAAGTCCAATCCAGGCTCTCCCATGTCTCGTCTATGACTTTGGGCAAGTCATACATTCTCACAGTCTCTGATCTCCATTGTCCTCAATTCTGTGTTATTTCCAAACCCAGGGTTTTTTGTCAATGATAAATGAGAATGTTTGACATTGAACTCTACAAACGTAAATGATGAATGTTGCTATAATGGTGCCTGGGGACCAGCCCTGAGAGCCTTTTCTTACTTCGAGAGTATTAGGAGTGAAAGAAGCTGGTTTTGCACGTGCCATCCACCTTCAGATGCTGTAGCTGTATTCTCATTCCTGTTTTCTGCCGGGTATTACTTTGTCCCTTCCCCCTCCCTGCCATAGTTCCAGGATTTGAGTAACCCCACGCAGTAATGATTACCTGTGTGAGCAGCCTGTTACTTTCAGGTTTGGTCAGAAAACAAGCATCTTACCCCATCTCCACTCCATTTCATCTCACCACAGCACATGTACTTTTTAATACTCTTACATACTTTTTGCTAATGGCTAATAAAAGAATTAGATTCTTGTTGAAGTACGTGACTATTTCCAGTTGATCCCCTATCACTCCCACCTCCCCAGTGAAGCTGAAAGGCAGAGGTGTGACAGAGAGTAGTAACTAGAGGGAACCAAGAACTAGGATACAGAGTTAATAAGACACCTTCCCCACTTTCAGTGATGTTGTAAGGACTGCAAGCACAGAGTGTTCCGGAAGGTTCCCGTAATGTTGGTGGGGTGGGGCAGGCTGTGAGGAAATGATGATATTTAAGTGACCAGTACAAAAAGGTGTGGGGAGGTTTCTCCATTTGACGGTTGAGACAGTGTCAGAAGTTTAAGGAACTACCCCTGGTCACAGTGAGTCCCTGGAAGAGGCTAGAATTCAGGCTCGGAAAGAATGCTAGTCTGATGTTTGGAACCAAGATAAACTGCTGTATGAAAAACAAGCAAGTAATTTTGGGTCTTTACTTTTTATCCATTGCTTTACAAAATTACAAATATATGAGTACTAAAAGTGAAAGAAATAATTGCTTTTTTTTTTTAAGTGAGAGAAGCTTTTGGGAGGAATAAAACAAAGCTAACGTTCAGAATAAAAATGTAGATGTTTTGGGAAAACCTTATTTTCACCAGTATGCTGAAAATTGCCAAAGATATGTTAACATCTTTTCTTATAGTAAAATGTCACATATAGTTTCAGATAAGGCTGATGTGATTATGCTGTATGCTTGGTTAGTGCCTGGGGTGTTCTTCCCTGCTGTGGAGAGGCTTCTTGTTTACGGCCCTGCTTTCTTCAGTATGAATCAGGTGCACATGAGGAAGGTCGCATGTTATCACTTAAGTCAAAGATAGCTACATGCCATATACTCTGAACGTGGTAAATTGGTTTCACATATTAAAGTGTCTTTTTCTGCAATGTGTTAATTATACCAAAGCAAATGATCTTGCCAAGACACTAAAACTCATTATTTCATCTGTGTAGTTATAGATCACCTAACTTCAAGTCACCTAAAATTTGGTTTCTATCCCTCAATCAATATCAACTTAGCCTTTACTTATCTCAATTCCTGATGGCCCTAGATGAATACAGATCCATTAAAACTGTTATATATACAGCCCTGCCAGTGTGGCTCAGTTGGTTGGAGCATTGGCCCATGCATCGAAGGGTCACAGGTTCAATTCCAGGTCAGGGCATACACCCAGGTTGCAGTTCACGCCCAGGTGAGGTGCATAAGGTACAGATCAATGTTTCTCCCTCTTCCTTCCTTTGTCTCTAAAATCAATAAAAACATATCCTCAGTTGAGTATTTAAGTTTTTTTAAATGTTATATACACATACTTGAATTTTAAGTCTTTTCTTTATCTCTAACAATTTAATTTTAGTTTTATCTTAATGGCATTTTATTTTGGTGATAGAAAAAACATTGTTGATAATTGGCCTTTAACTGGGCAAGTTATAGAATTTATGTGACCTCGGTCTCTTGTAAGCAAAAGGACGTATGAGTTCTTAATTCCCTTCTTTCTACACAATTCTATGACTTATTACTTTGTTTTAAGTTAATCCTCTAGCATTAATAGGTTAAAGGTAAATGGATAGTTGTTGATGGATCAGGGTTAAAGAAATTATAAATCTTAGTGTGTATAGATTATCACACATTAAGTTACCAGGTGTAACAAACCTGGTGGCTTCTGTTATCCTTTTGTTTCTTAGTCACAAGATGTCAAAAGTAATAGCATGTCACAGACTCTCAGTTGGCAGACAATAAATGATTGTTGACATTAACTTGGGCATGGTTTATTATATTCTCTTAGTGAGTTATAAACCATTTCTAAATGCAAGTAAAAAAAGAGAGATTCAAAACTGAGCCCAGGAAGGGATATGAATACACAGAGACATATGCACATGTTTATGGCAGCTTTATTTTTAATAACTAAAAACTGGAAACAACCAAACATCATCAACTAGTAAATGAATCAACAAAATATGCATTCATACAATAGAACACCACCCAGCAATAGAACAGAATAAACTACTGATACATGCAACAATGTAGAGGAATCTCAAAAGCATTATGATAAATAAAGACCACCAGACAGAAAAGACTGCTTACATTATGGTTCCATTTATAGGAAATCCTAGGGAAAAAAGGAGGGAGGGGGCAAAGCTATCAGGACAGAAAACAGACCAGTTGTCACCAGAGTCTGGGGGTGAGAAGAAGACATTGATTAGAAAGGGGCACACGGGTACTTTCTAGGGTGCTGGAAATGTTTTCTACATCATTATTTCAGTGGTGCTTCTATGAATGTGGACATTTATTAACATTAAGCAAATTATACACTTAAATTGATTACTTTTATTCAGTGTAAATTGTACCTCAAATTTAAAAACCAGCAAACCTAGTCTTGTATGCCTCACAGAGTTGACTACTTCAGTTAGGGAAATAATCATTTTTTAAACTTCAAACTTTGAAAGATTAGTTTTAACAATATACTAACATGATTTTTATGATGAATTGATATAAAATGTTGACCCCCTAAAATGTATTTGCATAGAAAATGGAAAATGATCAGCTTGCTTTAATATCTCATTGCATTTTGCTTTCTCTTTACCTCTCTGCCCGACCTAGAAAAGCTAATTGAGGGACTCAAATCTCCTGACACTTCTCTTCTGCTCCCTGACCTCTTGCCTATGACAGATCCTTTTGGCAGCACTTCTGATGCTGTAATTGGTAAAGTCATCATCTGTTTCTTCAGTAATGCATGATGTGTGTGTCTATTTCAAGAATGATATCTAATTGGTTAACAGACCCCTAGTGAGTATACCTGGTGAGGAATGGAAATGCCGCCAAGCCTTCTGCTGTTGGACAAGGCCTTGTGCTAACCCAGAAGCCAAGGTTATTTAATCTCCTTTGTTAGCACCTCAAATCAAGTGTTTTCTCTGTCTTCCAGCTGCACAACACTGTTATTTTTGCCTTGTTTTGATATCCTGAGATTTCTAGAGTGATGTCTTATGAATGAGGAAGAATGTGGGAAAATTCACACTTAGTTACAAAAGCTTCACGAAAAAAGTTGGTTTCAAGCTGGGCCCTACCTTTAGCAGAGTCTTCTTTAGAAGGCCCCTCTACGTGCCAGGTATTAGTAACTGGCACAACACATGCCTGGTGGTGAAGCCTCAGGGGTAGAAACTGGGGAAGGGGCTTGGTCTGCTTGTCCTTACATTTCTCTGTGCTCCAACCGCAAGGCAGGCAAATGCCCAGGACCCCTGTACTCCAGGGGTGCAAAGTCCTAGAACTCAGAGTCCACGACCCTGCGGAGAGCTGGGCCTCTAGCTGGGGGATGTCTCAGCGTGATACCACCACACTGCATCCTGGATGGGATTAGAGATGGACTAGTGGCCTCTGCAAGGCACAGAGAATGTGAAAGGCTCCCAAGTTTGTCCCTTGAGAAAAACAAAATTAACAGAAGATATTAAGGTGCCTTTCAGTTTGTTTTCTGACATGGAAGAGATCTCCTGGACAGCTCTTATTCTGTATTTATCTATAAAAACTGAGAATCACTGAGACAGGCCACAGTGGTTAACTTTGCACAGACCTGCTCAATCAGTGAAGCCCAGATACTCAAAGCAGCAGAAATAAAGTAACTTCTGTGCTTTCCACCTCTCCTGAGACTGGCATTTTAGAAACCTGTAGGAGAAAGCCTTGATAGAATTGTCCAAGAACTTCGGACTGCCTTTCCCTTACCCGTTATTCTCCTTTTTTAATGCTCTGTTACAAAAGAAAAAGCTGATGTTGCTGTTGAGAGTCTCATACCAGGACTGGAGCCCCCAGTGCCCCAGCGCCTCCCATCTCAGACGGAGTCTGTGACCTCGAACCGCACAGGTCAGTCAGGAGTGTCTGCAGCGGCAGGGACTGCTTGATGTGGGGAGCTCTCAGAGCAGTCTTTCCACCGGACAGATGGTCCGGGGTTTATTTTGCAGCTTGGTTAGTTCCTCCCAGAAGGGATGCCCTGCATTGTTGCAGTCCCAGCTTCTAGATGTTGAGTGATGTGTTTCCTCGCCAAAAAGCAGATTATGTTTTTGGAGTTCTTTGTAGAGTGATCCCTGGGCTTTCTCTGATTACAGTCTATCTTTATTCAGGATTTTTTTTTCCACTGGTGGCCGATTCCTTCCACCTCCTTAATTACAGAACTCTGCTGAGCTGTAAGGATGCCCTTAACTCCTCCAGGTTACTGAGCAGTCTCTCCCCTCTAACAGTGGTATCCATGGAGCTCATTTCTGGATGTTGACACCCTGTTGCTAGCACAGTGCTTTAATCATATAGGTGATTTGCTATTAAATTGTAGGCAAAGTTGAAATCTTTGCTGTTTCCAGCATTTCACCCTGATTTTTCCAAGTTCACTCCTAGTAGACTTCCTTAACTGCCCATAAATACAGATTTGATAACCTTCCTTTTTTTGAGTCCATAATTACCTTGATAAAAAATGTCCAATCCTAACTAGGAATGGAAACAATTAGAAGTCTAGGAAGTATGAGAATTAACTCACCAGGTTAAAATAATTTAATAGGGTTTCTTTTTCTTGTGCTTACTTGGCTATTTTCTTCTAGAAAACTTTTCAGAAAATAATTCATGTGTTAAAATACTTGAACTCTGAATTTTGTCTTCTGTTCTTTATCTAAAAGCAAAATTATGTGTTCAAAGGAGCAATTCAGATTTAAAGAATACTATTAGTAAGGGGCAAGGTCATTCTATTCTGCATAGGAATCTGTTTGTGGTCAGGAAAGAACTGTTTAATCATGTCATATTACACTAATAATAAGCCAGAGACAACCCCCGTCTAGTCAAATTGGTCACCTCATTCTATAGTGATTCTTTTTCCATGAATGTTTAGGGGAAGTTTAAGTGAAACTCTTTAGTTGAAAAGTTCTTTTTCCCAAATGGCATTTGCTGAAAACTGAGCTGCTAAAGTTTTATTGGCATCCAAATCACGTATTTGCTTATCTAACAACCTCTGAGCAAAAAATGCTTCCATATTTATATATTAAGGTTAAGAGGAATACATGCTTCTGTAGATGAAATCCAGAGTGTTTAACGTGTTTCCTTTGGTTTTCTTTCTCCTGCCTTGGCTTGTTTGTATGACATGTACTGGTAAACGCGGTAACTTAAAGGCGAAGGTCTAATCCTGTGATATTGTTGTATGTGCCATTTAATGCCGTCACTGACCTGGGATGCTGTTAATCTGGACTCAGATTCTCTCACCGGGGAAGATTCCCTGATCGATTGCTCTCTGCTTTCTAACCCTACTACCGACCTTCTGGAAGAGTTTGCCCCCATAGCGATCTCTGCTCCAGCCCATAAAGGTAAATGCTTTCTTCTTCTTGGACCCACATGTGTCCTTAAAGGAGAACCGAACACCTCCTGAAACTTTTTCTTACCAAAAGTCTTTGCTAGTGAAGTGTTTTAACCACCTCCTTATGTGCAAAACTTGAGCTAGTATTCTCAGCCACTGTGTTATAGTCCCGCTCAGAAAGAATACTTAATAAGACTTAGACAACAGATTGGTGGAGGTCGGAGCTACATATCTTTGAAGTCAATTCAAGTAGATGGTTGAGTTGATTAACCACTGACTATAATTATTAATATGATACTTGTTCGCCTTAGAACTTAAAAATGTTTCATCAAATATGGTGTAACATTTTGGATAGTGATAAATAGGCACCAGTCCTCAAAAATTGAATTTGTAAAAATTTTGAATCTAAGTTAACATTTGAGTCACAGTTACTTACAAGATTTCTCTTTTTAATCTACCATTTTCACTTCTTAGTCTTAGGTTAATACTGGTTTTTAATTCTGCTGGACAGAAGTAGCTTGCATTGAGTTCTATTCTGTGAGTAGTTTGTGAAAGTGATAGGCACAGTGCCTGGCTTACTGTACACAGGCATTCACTAAACTTCTTTCTGTGCGTGGGTAGTGAATGTGATTTTCTAGAAGGAGCAAATACATAGAAAAGGAACAGTTTAGAAGTCCTTCTGAAGGAAATTCAAAAAGGAAGCCTCCCCAAGTTGACTGAAAAGTAATTAGCCTGTGGTTTGCAGTGGTAATAGCTGAGCTTTTGTTTTTACCCTTTATAGCATTCAAATGATTATGTTTTTATAGAACATGTAGAAAGAAGTTACCTGTTTACCAAGTATGTCTGACACGAGTGTGTCAGCGGCAACGTGTAATTACAGAGGAGCAGTACTTGCAAAATAGGCACTTAGCTAGCACTTGCTCGTAGGAGAGCCTTAATTAGAAGGGAGAAGAATATTCTAACAAGCTTCTGCTGGGAATCTCAGTGCATGTGATCCTGTGCCCCAACATTCCCTGAGGCATCAGAGGTATATGAAAGTCTGTTTTCCCAATCAAAGGGCGGTGAGTCCTCTCAGAAGCACTTATTTGCATTGTGCATAGCGGTTGCTTTGTAAGGAGAAACTCCCCCATCCCATGGTTTTCTGTTTTTCAGGTGTTGTTAGTCAGGTCTCTGTTTGTTCAGTAAAGAAGATAAATGACTAATCACTGCTTTTGTGAATTACTCACATTGAAGAAATACCTCCAGTAACTACAATTAATGATCTTATAATGGCAGAGAGAATTCATCTTACAACCCTTCTCCCTCATCATTTATGAAAGTCTTAACATGGCCAGCGCTAAAACCTTTTCTGCTATTTCCCTAAATTTTCCAATTTTGCTACATTTATTTCAACTCAGGAAAATAAGCATTTTCATCTTTAAAAAACTGCATTGATTGAGAAACAATTGGGAACTCTGTGCCTCTTACATGTTCTCTCATTTGCTAATCTCTGCTTCTGTTGTTTCTGCTTGTGTACTTGCATTCTGTATTAAGCTGCAGAAGATAGTAATCTCATCTCAGGTTTTGATGTCCCTGAGGGCTCGGACAAGGTGGCAGAAGATGAGTTTGACCCTATTCCTGTATTGATAACCAAAAACCCACAAGGTAAGAAAGAGAGGTTTGGGAAAAGAGCTTGATACCAGCTCTCTACAAAATAGTGGGGTACCTTTTTTACAAGGGGAAAAAAGAGCAACATTTAATGAAGGATATTGAGGATAATGACAATCATTGTGGGCTGGACCAATACAGATAGGTAGAGATACAGATACAGATAGAGATACTGACAGAGGTATCTTAAAGCCTGGCCATGTGTTTCTTTAGAGAGAAGAAAAGTATTAAATAGTTTGACCAAAAGTTGCTTTTTCAAAGCATCAAGCCAAAAATAAGTGATCTTTCAGTCAGTGGAAACCTGAAGACATATATCAGAAAAAGCACTGAACATTTTTTAATCATGATTAGAATAATTTATAATAAATATTCTTCCCAAAGAAATTAACAATGGTGCTTTGATATAAGTTGAATTTTTTGAATGTTTGTGGAACATACTTTTTCCTCTCTGATGGAGTCAAATCATTTGAACATACCACAAAACATATATTTTTAAAGCATGTTTTTATTGCAATGGTCTTAATAACTGTTGTCTTCCCAAAGCAAGATTACTGATTTTTACCCTATCAGGGAGATGATACTATGTTGTCAAGAAGTTAGTATATAGCCAGCAGTTCTCAGGTAAAATATATATATTCATTAGAAAGGTGTCCTGCCTACAGGATGGTATGCACACAGTGCCTGAGCCTTTTACGGGAGGTGGCGGATACCTAATTTATATGTTTAAAAATCAACATGTAAGAGTTTGCAAATGTAAATTGTTGCTTCTGTAGGGTTTTGTTTTAGTTTGGTTTTTCTCCTTTGCTTGCTCTGCACATCTAACCCTTAACCCTCTGTGTTTTGTACTGAATTCCTATCTCTCCACTTCCAGGTGGGCACTCTAGAAACAGCAGTGGGAGCTCTGAGTCCAGTCTTCCCAACCTAGCCAGGTCTTTACTGCTGGTGGATCAGCTCATAGACCTGTAGCCGTGACCCAGTAGCAGATGCAGTTCTGTAACCTTCATACCGTAATATACATTTTCATTACGGAATTATAAGAAAAATGATTTTTTTAAAAATCTGCAAATAAGGGGCCCTCTAGGCCTTATCTCCTACCCCTTGCCTTCTCCTATAGAAATGATAAGGAAAGAAAATCAATTTGGCCCTCCAGATATTTCTTGGCCAGTTCCTCCCTGATTGTTCGCTGTGTTTTCTCATTACCCTTCTTCAATAGCATTATCTTAAATCAAGCACTAGATGCCATGAGCTTCACCTCAGACGGAATCAACTCCACCAAAAGCTTAACTGTAACTGAAACTAGTGAACTGACACCTTTGCCTCATTCTTGCTAGGAATGGCCTCCCAAATCAATCCTCCCGACCCGTCTCCTTTGGCCAGATGCTGATGAATGTGTTTCTCTGCTTTCGCTTTTTATCCTGCTGCATTATTATGAAGACATGGCTTCTTCGGTTGGTCTAACTCTAGGCAGTAGCCTGGAGACAGGTGTGTGGTTTAAGAAAGGGTAAAACTGACTGACTGATGGTATATATTTGAAAAGACAAAGTGAGCCCAGCTCTAGCCAACCAACGTTGACCTTGTTTGATCATAGACTTAGCCAAGGGATTTTACACCCCATGCAACCTGCCCAGCATTCATCCAGCATTCTGGCTTCCATTGAACCGCAATTTCTCAGATCGGGAGATGTGACTGCAAGTACTTAAGATCCTTGGATAAATGTGTACATGATATAAATCCCAAATATTGCCATTCCTTTTCATGTTAACCATCCCAAGCCGGGATCTCAGAATTAGACCAAAACAAGACAATGGTGATAATATGATACCTTTTATTAGAAGACTTTTCATTGGGGGGTGGCTGGGGGAGGGGAAGGAATTGTAGCAGAAACAGATGTATTTTTCTTGTGATTTTTATTTTGAATCAAATACTGTAAATTGTGTATAAATGAAGACGCTGAATAGTTCTGTTTCCACTTGGCGTTTCAAGTCTGACATCAGGTGTCTGTACAGGGTTTTTGATCTCGTTCCCTTGTATAACTTTACACTGCAATCCTACAGTGTGACATATGGAATCATTTTGAGTAGACTTGTGCGTTGCTATAAGCTTTCAGCAGGTCTTCTGTCTTTGTAGAATAAGCATGTTGTTTATTTGCAGATAAACAGAAATAAGTGTGCTGACAAGCTAGGCACAATTTGACTCTGGCTACTTACCTTTCTTTCTCTCTGATGTTTGATTGAAGGATGCAGCCAATGAAATGTTCAGTTGGTTTTCCTTGGCTTCCTAGAGTGAAAAATAAAACAAAGCATAGTTCCTCACTAACCTTAGAATATTGTTCATAAAATAAATAAAGGACCTTGCACTGACACGACAACATGCCTCATGGTCACCCTCTGTATATGTCCTTACTGAGTTAAGTGTATTTTTTTTCCTTACATGGAAAGCAGTTTTCTAAAAATTACCCTTTTGAAAAGGTGGGCACAGAGAACCCCACTGTGGTTCTCTTCGTTGAGTGCCATTGTCCATGATCAGAGGGAAACTAAACTCTTAGTTGGTCAGATTTCTACAAATAAAATTCCAAGTCCATTTGCTTGTTTCTCTATCTGGTACTTTTGTTTCTTCCTCACATTTGCACTTTAAGGGAGGGAAAAAGAAAGTTGAACAGCAACAGTCTGCAAAACACTGCATGCACTTTGGAGGTTAAGCTTTGACCTCAGCAATGTGAGTGCAGCCTTTGAAAGGCATCAGAGAAAAAGTTTGAATCTTTCAGTCTTCCTTCTGACTTGAAACACTTCCCATGCCAACTGAAGCTACATGAGCTAAGTAAAGGCCTCTATGAGGATAATGGATCATTTCCAAATTGAGGAAGGCACAAGCCTTCCTGCTAAGGATTTAAAAAAGACATCCTTGATGAGCTCTTCCTGTTTGAATAGCAGTGAAAATGGGACTTGGCTTGCCCCTTTATGGACAGGAATATTATTGAAGATCAAAATTGTATTCTGTTTCCTGGACATAGAAAAAAATGTATAAACTAATGAAGGAAATGTTTATTTTTAAAATAAGAATAATGTTTTATGCCTACGTTTCTCAATTTGTTTTTTTTATACATATGTGTTAAAAATATAATGAATATTTAGTTTCTTGAAACCATGGAATGTATAGTTTAGAAATTAGGTGTCTCTAACTTATTCCTTTCATGTATTATCCTAATCACATTGAGATATAGTATCTAGTCATCTGGCTCAATAGAGACCATTAATGAAAAGAGCAGACTAGAAGCCAGAGACTGAATGGAGGAAGCCCAAGGGGGACAATGACATGAAATTCTTTAGGAGTAGGGCCTCAGAGGGGAGAACTATTTTTCTGTGAAGGAATACAGTGAGTGAGCCAATAAATGGGGCCTCTTAATATATATATATATAGCATCATCCCTAAGCTAAAAGGGTTTATTTGAGATGAGTGTAGTGTGCTGATAATTAATAGACTTATGGAATTATAAAAGGGACCTTAGAGGTCATCATCTAGTCCACCCACTTCATTTTACAAGTGTAGGATCTGAGACAGGGTAGTGGGAGAAGAGGCCTAGATAGGGCAGAGCACCTGGAATCTCATCTTGACCTTTGCCAGTCACTGTCTGAGTTACTTCAGCAGATGCATCACTTCCCAGAGCTGCTGTCCTCGTTTAGACAATGATGGGTTTGGACTTCATGATCTCTAAGATTATAGAATTATAGGGCTCTAAGTATATATTATTATGCTTTGGGAGGACTATGAAGGATTTATATATCCTGATGTTCTTCAGTTATCTAATGTAGTTCTTACTGTAGCAGAGTTTACCTTTTAGAAAATTATAATGGGCTTTTACTAACCTGGGTTGCTCTTTTTTGGTTATCTGAATTAGAAGCCTAAATTATGACAGAGTTTTGGACAGAGATGTTCTTTTTTTTAATATTACACACTCCCACACATGCACACTCCCACACACGGAGTACAACAAAACAATATCAAATTTCGATTCTTTAAAAAATATATAATCAATGATCTGCTATATAAAAATGGATAAATACTGTAAGCATATGTGTTTTTTTAATTAGATATCTTAAAATTTATTTTTTTATTTTTCAATTATTGTTTATATTCAATTCTGTATTAGTTTCAGGTGTACAGCAAAGTGGTTAGAAAATCATATAAGCATATGTTTCTGATTTGCTTTTATTCCAATTGTGCAAGAGTAGACAACATCTCAAATTATTATTTTTTCCCTTTAGAGCATTCTAATAACTAGATTGCCAAATTCAAGTCCCATTGTTTTTAAAAACATATCACAAGAGATAAGGCTTAAGTGGACACTTATAAATATGGTTATAATTAATGATTACTTTAGCAGACATATTGGAATTTTGACATCTAATTGAGTGTTGTTCCTTGATTTTAGTTGGGAACCTAATACTTATCTTAATCATTAAAGTTATTTTTGAAACTGCTCTCCTTAGAAATACTATCAAGGAAGGTAATAAGGTATAAGAAAATCAGTTATTATTACCTAATTGGTATCACTTTCAGCACCTGAAAATAGGTGTGTGTTTTTTTAGTCTACTTTTTCTACCACTCTTGGTTCTAAGTGACATTTAGCTGTTTCCAAAGGCAAAATCACCACCCTAAGATCAAGAGTAGTTACTATTAAAGATAGTAAAGAATATAATCCACACAACATTTTCAGGAAGAACCTTATAATGGAAAGGGACAATGATCATTCTTAACTTTCTTAATATTCTGAATAAGTGAATGACTGGTTTAGCCTGTCTTTAGTGTAGTTTAGAAAAATGGAAGATACATATTTTTAAAATACCTCTAAAATAGGTTGTCACGTTGTTCAGTGTCATTTGATAATGAACTTGCCACTTAAATTATAATTATAAAACTTGGATTGCTAATAATTATAGGGGAACAAACAAAAAAAGAGGCTGTTTTTCTCAAGATGACATGTTAATTTTGTTTATAATACTTTTTCCCACTCTCCTGACCAATAATTGATCATTTTTATTTAAGTCAGCCCAATCTTCTCCCAGATCAGAAACAGCTTTGCTTTCAGCAGTGCTGTGGTAAGCAGGGGACCTTCGGGGTTGACCTCATCCCAGAGGTATGAAGATAATAACTTGTTCAGCCCAGCACACTGTAGATACCTTGGGCCAAAATAAAGTTTCCATGATGAAGTTTGTGAGCTCCATGAGTCTTTAACTTTCTCAGTTTATAAGACTATCCAGATACTATAGCCACTAGCTTAGAGTTTGGAGATAAAAATGACAGGGTAACCTCATTTAAAAAAAGAAAAAAGAAAAGAAAAAAAGATAAGATTGTCCAAAATACTGAATTAAGTAAATTAGAGGCTGCCAAGCGGAACAGAGAAACTATCACATGAATTTTAAAATGGAATATTTACTGAAATACTCCAGATATTACAAAGCTATCTTTCATTCCCCTTTAGAGACTATACATTTATGAGCTGTTAGCCTTTTCCTTGTCCATGCTAGTAATGTTCCTGGATGTGCTTGGGTTTTTTGAGTCAGAATGAATCCTGAATGGCTTCCATTTCAAATAATCTGTATCAAGATACCATTTTGTTTCTCCTTGGTGTCCCTTCACTGAGGTGGGGGAGGGAGGTGTTTTGGGTAATGCAAAGTTACCTAGTGGTGGTAGTTGCTAGAGTGGAAGACACTGTCTTGGTTCCCACTTTGATATAGTATCTGAATGTACTCTTTTCCTGCCAGTACTCTCTGCCCTATTGCACGCCCCTCCTCACGTGGATGTATATTTACCACAGGTCATTATCCCCGCTCTCCCAAGAAGACAGAGCAAACAGAGGTACATGAAGCTATCTTATGCAGTAAAAATGTGAAATTTGAACATTGCTACGCAAGTATTATATAAAAACAAGTCTGTAAACAAATTTCTTATGTAAACATACAGGGGAATAAAGACTTTTATCTGTTCAAACAGGAGCATTGATGTTTAGAGCTATAAACAACTTAAAATAGCTGCTGTTTTCCTGAGCTGAAAACCCACTTTTTCAAAAAGGATTGAAACACTTTGTTGAATGACAATAAGTACCTGCGCACAAGGGAAGTGTGGCCACATGTGAGAGACATGCTGAGGACATTTTAATGAGTCATGGCTACCCTGGCTCCACCTTGTGGTCTGGGAGAACAAAACCAAGTGCGCCTGCATTTGATATGATCAGACACGGGGTTGTAAAATGGAGCACAGATTTGCAGCTATCCTCCTCTAATTTCATCTTTAATATACCCAGGCCAATTTAATTAAACATGTTATGTTGGCAACAGCAGTTTTATGCCCAGGGAGAAATCTCTCCCATTTAATTGCTCCATTGGCTTGAGAGGCACAGCATCGCTAGCCAAGATTGGCTCCTAGCAAATCCCTTATTCCCCAGTCGTGGGTTTTAATGCGACTACACAGCATATGGTCAAACCAAATGCTTAATTTGATCATCTAAGCCAAAAGGTCATAGAAGTTATTATAGAGGAAAGTGAAATTCAGGTTGCGCGTGATGTATTATATTAAGGAATAACCAGTCAGAAATTTAAGTCTTCACATTTTGATTTTTTAGAAAGCATGCTGATGACCTTCACTATGTCCACCTGATAAAATTTTCAGAATAAACCTTTCCCAAATCATTCAACACTCCTCATTGCTTTTGAAGTTAATTGAGAGTTAGTGAGGATAGTTGCCAAGTCATCAAATATTTTTGGGGACTCCTTTCCTACTCTCTGAAGCATGTGAGCTCTTACTGAAATCTATATAATTTTGGAGCCTCAAAATAGACTAAAATGGAGTTTTGAAAAGTGTGCTTAACCTTAACGTGGCACACAATTCTACGTCAGAGCAAGAAAAAGAAATGTTTTGACTTGTTGCTTAATTTAATGTGCTCAACCAAAATAAAAAGAGACATGACCTAGTTCGAAGGAATTAGAACAAAATGCCCTACCTTAAGCTTCTTGATAAGGAAGACCCTGTGCAGACAATGTGGTCAGGTCCTGGCCTTACCGCCCCCCTCCCCAACTGTCTATCTTTATTGAGCTCTGTGGTTGTGATGGTCAGGTCCTGGCCTTAACTCTCCCCCACCCCCCCAACAACTGTCTATCTTTATTGAGCTCTGTGGTTGTGGTTAAGGCATCTGCTGTGCATGCCATTAATTACTAGACCAAGGCATGAGGTTAAATTAATGTAAACCCTTTAATTGCTAGTAAGCAGACTACTTCGCACATGTTTCCTGATGGTGCAAGGCTATCTTCATAAACAGACTGTTCACCCTGAAAACACGTGTTCTCCCTACAAGAACACACTCCTGTTCCAAAAAAGACCTCTAACTCCCAACAAAACTCAACGTCTACCTTCTGTTTACAGTTATCTATAATCTCTCTTCTTGACTACTCCGTTTCTTGTGCTGTCACCATCAAAATTCCCTGAGGGAATGTGGTTGTCTGTGCTTTTCCATATCGATCAGCATTTCTTTGGTCTGCAAAGTGCCAGGCTTGGAGAATTGCAGAAGGTGTTTGCTCTCTGCCTTGGTCCCACTGCCCCTCTACTAAAAAGAATGGACAGGTTGAGGGACTTGGCCTTCTCAGGAGAAACCTTCACATATATCTTTCCAATCCTGTAAGCAGATTCATGCTGAAAGAGATATGAAGCAGTCTGGCCTTGCTTTGAAGGACAGGAGACCGATTTTCCCTTTGAACTCTATGTTAAAGCATTTTTGTGGCTGTGTGTGTGAATTTTAAAAGCTGTTGGAACTTTAAGTATGATTTTCCCATTGCACCATGAAGGGTATAGAAGATGCTCTAAGTTGGTAGGCTTCCATTTGACTTGACCAAAAACCCACTTTTTAACAGAAGTAATTTTGATAAATCTGGCGTGTTCTTCCATCCTGTCCAACTCTGGAGATGGCCACCCCTGATTGGCACTTAGAGTTCTCAAAATGTAATCGAACACTGTGGGCATCCAACGTGACCAGGTTCTATGGGTAACTGCTTTGGGACAATCTCTGCACACAAATATATTTCACTGAATTTAATTTAAATTTCCCCAAAACACTAACTCTGGCAAACCAGTGTTTATTATTGACCTATATGATGTCAGAATCAGTCATTGGCATGACTAAATTTGCCATTTTTTTCCTAAATGATATTTTGTTCTCCCACAGAACCAGCTTAATAACATCAACTTTCAGGGTAGATTTGGAAGTTAAGAATTTGTGCCTTAGTTTTGGCAACTGAAAATTTGCACATCTGATGCTGTTAGAAAATGGTTCAAAGAGTGTGTGTGTGTGGGGGGGGGTGGCTCTCATACCGCTTTGCTTGGCAGATCTTATTTTGGAAAACTTCTCTTCCCCCTTTCATTTGAATTTCCTCCCAGAAGTCACCATCTGGGAATCACTGTGACAAATCTAATATCAGTAAACTTGCCTGAGAGGTTAGGATTATGTCTTTCCACATAGATTGCAAGGGAGAAGGTGTTCCATTTATTTCCTATCCCCTAATGCTTTCATATCATGCAAGTGCATATATTAAAGCTGTAACACAAGGAAAAATTTATCCTCTTCAAAATAAACTTACTCTTCAAATGCTATTCAGAAAGCCATTTGCTCCAGGATAGAATTTAACTTCAAGACTCTGATGTGGGATTCATCAAATGCATTTCAACTGTTAGAAAGGGAAATAAAAAGGAGGGGGAGGACACCTTTTGTTTCTGGAAACAATATTTAAGGTCAGAATTATTTAAAAAGAAACACTGCTCAAAAGGTATAGGATTCAGAAGAGTATAGTATTTTTGTACAGTATCTTCTAAAATGTTCGGGTCTCTCTCTGCAACTCTTTACAATGTAATAGCAACTGGTTTCCCAATAAACTGATTTTGATGCTGCTTCAGCTGTGTTCTGTGTGCTTACTTTAAGCAAACTTAAAGGGGGATATTGTTAGCAGAAGTTTCTATGAGCAAATGGTTTGCATAGGAGGGGAGAGGACTACGTGGGGTTGGGGTGATTGAATTACCTCTGTACAGAGGTTCCAAGTCATCTATAGAATCCAAATCTTTTTACCAAATGTTCTTATCTTGGTGGGTTGGGAAACCCATGATGAAATGATACCTTTACCCCCAACCACCCTTTCTCTGGATTCTTCTTGCTTAGTTACATATGCCTTTTTCCTGCCCTCTTGCTAACATGTGCCCAATGACATACTTCTAACCTGCTAATGTTTCTTGGAAGGTAAGCTCTCTTGCATTCTGATAATTGTCTATTTGATGTTAAAAGCCAGAGCACCCAGAGGCACTTCTACTAGATAGAAATAGACTAGTATATTAGAGTTTGCAAATACTTCTGTAATTTCCCATACATTTTACTCTGTTTAAAGAAATTTAAGATGGAATCATTTAAACAGAGGAGGTCTTTGCTAACTTAAAAGACAGAAAACAAAATTCCAGGGCTACTCCAGCTAAAGTTGAAATTTAGTATAATTTTGCTTATGTCTCCTCCCCTGAGAAAGTGCCTTCAGTATTCCTGTTGGAGGTACTTTTATGTCAATCAGCAAGTAAACTTGCATTTATCTAGCAGCCGCGTTTTGCTGCTGTTTGGGGGCAAAGGATGGGTGTCCTCAGATACCAGCAGAGCATGACCATATATCAGATACTGAATTGAATTTGTCCCCAGACAGTATTTCTGCATACTCCAGAACCATCATGGTATACGTGAAGATGAGTGGCTGGGTTTGTTTTCATTCCATCATGTGCCCGTGCCAGCTAGAGCAAGTGTCAGTGCCTAGCCCTGTGAGTAGGAGCATTGCATAGCTGCACTAAATGTCTGTGTGCCTAACGTCTTCATCTCCTTTCCTGTACATTGTGCTTATCATGTCCCAAAATGTGAGACAGTGATTGGTTGTGTTCCAGTTTGTGTGCAGTTTCCTTGCCTGACTTTTATTTTTCTGTTTTTCCTTTTCCATGTTCAACATCTATTATTTGGTCCCATGATGTTACTGCCGTGGGTTGACCATTAAATGTTCCACGGAGAATTGAACCAGCTGCGCATTAATTCTGCATTTTGTGCTTTTCTAGGTCTCCAGAGAGAGCCCAATCCCTGTCCTGTAATAACTGTAGAGCACTTTAAAGAATCAACGGGCGTTAAAGGCCTTCCCCTCTATCCAGACCCCTCCAGAGTACCTGACACAAAAACACAGAACAATTTAGAATCTGACTACTTGGCCAGAGATGGCCCTTCAAGCAACAGCTCATTCCACAGCAGCGAGGAGGAAGGGACTGACCTCGAGGGGGACATGCTAGACTGCAGTGGGTCTCGCCCGCTCCTCATGGAATCTGAAGACGAGGATGAGAGCTGCAAGCCTCTGCAGGGGAAGCTGGGAGGAGCCATTCCGTTCGCTCAGCCAGAAGTCTCTACTGAGCCAGCAAAGGCAGTGCAAGGTGGAAAAAAGAACCAGTTTCAAGCCCCCACACAACCAACCACTGATGGTGTTGGTGAGCCAGATGTTTTTGCCACAGCCCCCTTTAAGAGCTCAAGGATTCCAACGGACGAAATGGACATTTTCTCCAAAGCCCCTTTTGTCTCCAAGGGCAGTGTGGCTCCTTCCCAGCCAGAGGAGGCGGATGTGTTCTTAAGAGCTCCTTTTACCAAGAAGAAAAGTATGGAGGAGGTAACAGTTGCCCAGAGCGCCTCCCAGGAGTTGCCCACACAGGCCAGTCTTCTCAGTCAGACAGACGAGGTCGCTCAGCTCTCAGGCCTTGACAGAGCAGTGTACTCCTCTGTCCGACCTCAGTATTCCATGGCTGGTTTTGCCCCACAATCCAACCTCCCTTCCCATTCTGTACAAGCAGCAGACCATCCTGACAGCATCTCACCCAGGGGAGCCTCCCTGGAATCTGGGAGCCATCTTAATGACAGAAACAAAGGACTTCAGCCTCAGAAAGAAGCTGCCTCGGGCCCCATGGCTGGCAAATCATTCCGCCCCCAGTCTTTATCCAAATATTCCCGTCACTATAGCCCAGAAGATGAGCCAAGTCCCGAAGCCCAGCCCATTGCTGCCTACAAAATTGTTTCGCAAACCAACAGGCAGTCCATAGCTGGCTCTGTTTCCATCACATCCCTTCCTTCCAGGACTACGGAGCTGCCAGCTGCTGATCCTTTTGCTTTAGCACCCTTTCCTTCAAAATCAGGCAAGCAGAAACCTTAGGAGCAATACTTGAGCCTTAGGCCTCTTGTGTCTGCCCCACCTTCAGTAACCCACCACATCACTCCCAGCTGAGCCTTCCTAAGAAGAAATATATCAATTATGATCTTTCAGTTCCCTGGGTCAGAGGCGGATATCAGTCAACAAACTCAGTTGCAGTGATACTTAGTCAAAACCCCTTTGAGTATGCTCATTTCTTTTGTTTATATTGATTTCTGGACTTTCAGGCTTTTCCATCTCCAACTCTACCCAGAACTCTGCTTTCTTCCCTCCTCCCCCGAAACTGGGATTTTTTTGTTTGTTTGTTTCTTTAAAATATATTTTTTATTGAGTTCAGAAAGGGAGAGAGAGATAGAAACATCAATCATTGACCGCTGCCTCTTGCGCAACCTGCGCATATGCCCTTGACCGGAATCAAACCTGGGACCCTTCAGTTTGCAAGCCAAAGCTCTATCCACAGAGCCCTCCTGGCTAGGGCCCCAGAATCCGTTTAAATCCAGAAATAATTTACCCAACCCCAAAAGGGCCATGTTATTGCTAGTTTTAATTCCTGCAGTCCTGTTCTGAGTCATGTCCATTGAAGAATTGAGATTAGTCCCTCCAGGACATAATACCCTTGAAAAGGGGATATTTCTGGGAAGAAATGCAAGATAAAAATCCTGCACCTCAAGAGGAAGTGTAAGCCTGCAGATATAATCATTCCTGTAAAGCCAGCAGCCCTAGGATTCTCTGCATCTGTTTCTGAGTCTGTGCCAGCCTGGCTGGCCCTTGCACATGTGTGTCTGTGGGTATTAACACGTGTCAGATCTTTTCCTATGTAGAAATGCAAACGGATGAGATATCTGAGCTCATTTCTCATAGTGTTGAGCCTTCCCTACATCCTCGCTGCTTTGTAAATCAGTACGAGTGCACAGGTGTGTGTGTGTGCGCATGTGTGTGCACATTTGTACATGAGCATAGGAAGCATTTTTTCTTTAAGATAATCTTGCCCCACAATCCTACCTCCACAATCATTTACTAGCATTGGTCTCCTACACTAACTGATATTTTTATTTAGTTCTTTTCTCGTAAAATTTATTTCATTGGACAGTATAAGAAAATCGTGCTGAAACAGGTTTCAGAGTAGATTTCTTTTTCTTCACAATTTTTTATTTGTGATTAACAAATTCCATTTACCTGGTCATGAAAAATTAATTATTTTTCTACATTTCCCCCTCAGGACAATAGAAAAGAGCACCTTGCTACAGTTTCAGTCACTGGGTATGTGATCTTAAAAAGTATTTCACAAACCTTAGGTCTGAGCACTGCATGCTGTCATTATGGAATTAAGTAATCATGAGACTAGGCTACAAACTAGATTTGCTTGCTGGCTTGTTTGTTCCAAATCCTTGCCATTTTCCTCTACTGCCTCTTAAGGAGTGTAAATCTAAGACTTGTAAGTAAGTGTATTTGGGAGAATGGAAAAGAGCTGAATCTGTTAGCCATGAAAACTTTTATTCTCTCTTTAGATGTTGAAGTAAGCCAGATAGATGACGGACTTGTGTTTTTGAAATGTTTTCTCTTTCTGGAAAGATCTGACTCATTCCTAGCTGTTTTCATACCCTTTATTATTAGTGCCTTAAGATGAAATTTATGTCTCAATGGTAAGGCTTCTGCTGAGGAAATTCAACATAATGGGAAGAGTTGCTACACCATGTTTCAATGTGAAAGCTTCTTGTGACTTATAGTAAATGTTAGGGATTTTTTTCCCCCCATTAGCTGGAGAAATTGGGGAAGTTGCTTACCAAACAAGATTAATGATTTAAGAATTCCTGGAAATTCATCCAAGAATCAAGCCTGAATTTGTCCAGTTCTATTGCACTTGATACGGTGTCAAGTTTTTAAATTTAAAGTTCATGGATCTTGGCAGTAAAATAGGAACAACTGCTTTTTAAGACTTCTTCTAGTTTTGTCTCCACCTATTTTAGATGACCAGGTTAAAGGATAAAGTGAAATAATCGGCACTGGATCAGAGCTACTAGCAATGGTTTTTCCAGCTGAGGTTTCTTTGTGCCAGAAATGAATATCTTTCACTTTGTTAGATGTTAAATGTTTATTCTAAGGGTTTTCTTTCTCCCAGTGATCATTTCTGATTTTCCTGTGTAACAGTGGATGCAAAATTATCTTTCCAGTTGGATGAATTCGTTTTAGCTAATGCATATGGAATTTTGCACCCCAAACTCCTCCCCTTGATATTATCAATTAAAGCCTTCAAAGGCAAGAGGATAGGAATATTCAGGAGAGTTTTCACCCCAAATCAGAAACTCTTAGAAAGTAGACCATTATTCTAACTCACTCTTCCAAATATTCAGGCTTACCACCTCTCTAACAGCCCTGCAAATGTTTTTCCTTTTTTTAAAAAAATCACATCCTCCTAATCAAGTAGCCATTTTAATCCTCAAGATAAAATCAATAAAATCATGGTGGTTTTTATTATGCACTTGAATCCTTTGTCAACCATGGGCTCGTAACCTGTTTTTCTTCTCACTGGAGACTTATGATGGTTAGAGACCCTAAATACCTTTTTGAATAGGACGTGAATAAAAACACATACAAATTACTGTTGTATTGTTACTGATACATGAAAATTTTGTGACTGTGGGATTATATTAATTATTAGCTTGCAGCTAGTGAATTCTGCAGTCATCTACTTTGGATCATAGACGGTAAATACATCCCTGAAAGGTAAAATGTTCTTCCCAGAGGCCATCCTGCATCTGGAAATCTGGAAAATTTAGTTTATAGAAATCAGGAGTGCTCAGAGTGCTTTGAATTAGTAGTAAATGCATGTTTCCAGCAACTACACTGCAATATGTTAATATTAAAGAGAAAAAGAAAAGGTGTAGTCAACAAAATGCGGCACTTCTTATTTTAGTTTGCTTCATGTGTTCCTTGCCTTGCACACCTCATAGGAAATGCAGGAACTTGTGACCTTTCTTTCTTTTAGTGGAGCATATTGAGCCAGAATATATTCAGAATAAAGCATTGAATCACACCATGCACTAATTGACTAACAGGCACTGTTGAAATAATGAATTATCTTATGTGTGGCGAAAAATAGTTCACATATCTGTTTCTTGGGCTTACAGACAGCCCTGAGCTCCAAAATCCTTATTAGATCAGGAAATGGAATGAACAAAATGTGTGACAGGACCTAAGGGTATCTAGGTCAGTAACTCTATTTCATTTGGGGCCCATTCATTGTTGAGTTGAAAATTTCACGTGTGTAGATTAGTATGTGTTTATATTCCCATATTAGCTGAGTTTAATTTGGTAACTAAGATATTTCTTTCTAAACTCCAGGAAAAATACAGTATTTTATTGACCCATTATTTAAGTTTTAAAATATGTGTATATCAGTGTTTTCAACATGTATGTATGATATTAAACAGACATTTCACGGACTCATATCAGGTTTATATAAAATAAGTGTAATCACCAGAGTGGTTTGACAAGAGGAATTCAATCGTGCTGTATTTGATTCCATAAAGAAAAGTCACCATAGCCTAGATCCTGTAATATGTATAATTATGTCAAATAGGAAACTTTACCATATAGGAAACTAGAGAAGGGTAGGATCAAGCTCTTTTCACAGGAAGGATATGACTTAAAATGGAGTCACTTTAATAAATGTTATTCTCTGCTATGTCTTTGGAATTGAAATTGGAGAACATATGCCAGTCAACTGTGGAATGGCTGCTGACCACACAGATGCAGTTTTTGAGAAAACTGCAGTTTCTGAAAAATATGGAACCCAGATTACTTCGATTAAAGGTACATAGGAGAGCTGCTGAAAGGGACACACCTTCTAAGGAGGCAGGACCACCTTGTAAGCACCACAGCCACCCCTGAGTTCTGATCCTTCAATCTTGCCTGATGGAGTAAACATGAAGATTTTAAATGAAATTATGTAATATGAATTCTTAGTGTTTCCAATGCCTTTGTTAACTACTACTTGTAGTTTATTTGTTCTTTTTTGTTTTGAACCACCAGGATACTTGCAAACTTGTGACTTGTGAAGTTCACTTAAGGGGGAATTTCAAAATGCTTGAAAATAAAAAGTAGTATCAGGTTGGGAGTTGTTTTTGTGTTCTTTTGCTACAAAATGAATTTGCTAGGTTGATGAGAACAACAAGCTGGCTCAGCTGAGATGTGGGAATTTACACTGGGCATGTATTGATTCTCAGAATGCCACCTTGCCCTCTGACTTCCTGGTCCTATCTGCCTCGTTTGCAGCTTGTCTTTTATTAGGAAACAGGCCTCCCACATGTGGTGCCCAGGATCTCATCATCAAAATGCTGCCAGACATGGCTTTGTCCTGCTCTTTCTTTACCCTGCAAGTCGTCCTGGCTCATTTTCCTTGTTCCTATTCCCACTTCATTTCCTCACATGACACCCCCCTATTACAACCATACCAATAAGTGTTTAAGAGGTATGAATGAACATTATGTTAATTTTTATTTGCCTCCCTTTTTACTGTAAACAGTTTCTCCTTACATTTCAGCCTAGCCTGTGATAATCTCACCACACTGGAGTAATTCACAAAATAAGAAAGAAATGGCTCACCTTCCTCATTTCTTATGGACTAGAAAAGAGGATAAAGGAAGGTTGGCAGGACCCCAGCCTTCCTCTGTGGAAACAACCAAAAAGTATCTATTCACCTTGATCTAACACAGGTCCCAGAGTGCCCTAGAATGCAGGGGCAAGTTTACCAACCCACTGGTGGCCTAGTCCAGTATTCCCATAACTTATAATTACATAAGAAATTTAGTCTGAGCTACTTCACAGCAATCTCAATATGTGTTGAGTTTATACTAACAATGTTTTGTTCTTGAAATCTAGTCAATGTTATCTGTATTGCATTGTAATATACCAGTATATGCATGTTAAAGGAATCTGTTTGATTCCTTTGGGTAAGGAATTACAGAAATGGTTTTTACCAATGTCAGTTAAAGTGAGCCTTTGAGAGTGAAAGAAGATGTAGCCTCTTCACTCTGAAACGACAAGTCAGGTGTATTCTCCGAGTCTACCAAAGACTCCTATTTGGGAAATGTGAATATAACGTGTGTATATATGCGCACGCGAGTGTGTGTGTGTGTGTGTGTGTGTGTGTGTGTGTGTCTGTGTGTTTATCCCATGTTTTCTGCCATGGTGTTAAGACCTCCTAATAAAGGCATCCAAAGAATACCAAGAGGTGACAGTGGATATTTGGCATGAGTAAATTTGGTTCCATTTGCCAACAGCTCTCTGACTCTTAATAGGAAACAGTCCTCCCATGTGTGATGCCCAGGATCCCATCATCAATACGCTACCAGACATAGCTTTTCCCTGCTCCAAATTGGGGGAAATAACAGTAATATTTGAACTTTAATGAGCTTTGCATCGATGATTCAGGGACAATTGGTGATGGGCTGAGTTCACAGAGATGATGTTCAAAGAAGATCCAGGCATCCAAAAAGTTCTGAGTAAGAACTAAAGTTGTTCTACATAAGGCTGGGAAAAAGCAGCCATTGCCTGAGCTTCATTTCCACAATAAGCATGTTCTCATCCACGAGAATGAAACTTAGTTTTGTCCTAAATTCTTGGCTCACGTATAGTGTTGGGAGGAAAACTGACCAGAACACTACCAGGCCTGCAAGATATTACTTTGAAAGAGGAAATGTTTCAGGTCATTTTTTAGGAACTGGAAACCAAAACAGGCCATGGACCATGCTCATTCCATGGGGAAGAGGTGCACTTCCTCTGCTGGCTGTATTTTAAATTGACTGAATGAGGAGGGTGACCCAGCTGAAAGGGGTATTGAGGCCATCAGATCTCAGAAAACAATATGTGCATGCAATCTCGAGGCTGTGAACATGAAAAAGGAAGGGGAAAGACAATTTTAAAGTCAATCTTTGTTTTTGCAATACCTCTTATTTGCAGACTATTGGATTATGTTATTGCACTCTTTGTGTGATCTATCTTATGTATCTGATAGTTTTTATGAATAATTGAGTTGTAAACTCCTATATACTTTATTAAAGTGAACCTAATTAAAATAAATGATCTATACTTTGTATTTTTTTATGTCAAGTCTTCCTGGGATTAAAAAGCTCCATAAATGCCTGGGCAGTGTGGCTCAGTGGTTGAATGTAGATCAATGAACCAGGAGGTCACGGTTTGATTCCCAGTCAGCGCACATGCCCAGGTTGTGGGCTCAATCCCTGGTAGTGGGTGTGCAGGAGACAGCCCATCAATGATTCTCATCATTGATGTTTCTATCTCCCTTCCTCCCTGAAATCAATACAAATATCTATCTATTTAAAAAAGCTCCACAGGTACCTTTCACTTTACTACCAAGCCTAGTTTTATATTTTTAAGTTCCAAGAACAATGGTTGCTTGCTTTCTTGCTTTCCAATGTTGTCATTGTTATTTCCTGAGATCTTTCTATTCCAGATGTTTTATGGAGAAATAAATAATACAAGCTAATCGGGCCATAAAGACCAAGCTGGGAAAACAACAGAGTTCCCTACTATGCAAACTCCTGTGAGCGTCTAATACAGGGGTCCTCAAACTACGGCCCGCGGGCCACATGCAAATACAAATATTGTATTTGTTCCCGTTTTGTTTTGTTTTTTACTTCAAAATAAGATATGTGCAGTGTGCATAGGAATTTGTTCGTAGTTTTTTGTGCTTTTTTTTAAAACTATAGTCCGGCCCTCCAATGGTCTGAGGGACAGTGAACTGGCCCCCTGTTTAAAAAGTTTGAGGACCCCTGGTCTAATATGTCTGTTATCTGAATGTGAGCTGCATTAACCTGAAGAGGTATTAACATAAGAAATTAAAAAAAGAAGTCTTGGGTGTGGGGGGGAATGCATTATACGTAAGAATTTTTTAAAATCTCCACTGTGGGAAAGAACCTGCCTGCCTATTTCCTCTCCAAATTTGGGGAAATAATAGTAATATTTTAACTTTAATGAGCTTCACATCCATGATTCAGGGAGAGTTGGTGATGAGCTGAGTTCACAGAGATGATGTTCAAAGAAGATCCGGGCATCCAAAAAGTTCTGACATAATATGCATGCGTAAAACCAAAGTTTGCTACTTTTTCTGAGGATTTAAGATTTGATTCATCTATCTTTAAGTATAGTTCTATAATGTGCAGTCCTTACACTTTTTCTATTTTAAGTTATGATTAACCAAAAGCACAGTTTTCCTTAACTATGACTCTGACTGCTTTGGTGGAAGCCCTTGCAGATACATCAGCCCCACTGAAATGTAGGATTCAGAGCCTTCTGCAAAGATGGACAGAGCTCACCTGTCTTAGCCCTACCTT